CAGCTCCCTCAGCCTGTCCTCGGAGGAGAGGTGCTCCAGCCCTCGGATCATCTTCGTGGCCTCCTCTGGCCCCACTCCAACACATCCACGTCCTTCTGATGTTGGGGGTTCATAAAAATGCACAGTGGGGAAATCAGCACCCCGTTTTCCTGAGCAACAGGCAGTTTAGATCCAGCAGTGCCTCTGAGCCTTTCCCCCTGCATGTTGAGGCCCCCTCTGTCCCTCCCCACAAGGGACGCTGCGTGGTGAGGGACGTTTGTAGAGCCCGTTGGTGTGCCCAGTTGTACATAAACACGTGCAGCAACGGCCCAAGTGCTGTGCACAGCTGTGAACTTTCCGCACATCGAAACGGCCAGGCATTGCTCCTTGCAGTGCCGTGCAGCAGCGTGCCTCTTCTTTAGCTCTGGAGGCATCACCACCACCTTCCCGTCCCTGCTGCTCGTGCACCGAGCCTGCCGCATGCAGCAGCAGGTATCAGTGCCAGCCCACCCTGAGGTGCTGCTCAACGGCTGGGCAGATCGATCGGTTTCTCATGTGCCTCTTGGCTTCTTTTCTGCCAGCTGAGCTCCCTCCCCCTGCCCTGCTCTCCTCCCCGGGCCTCGCTGGCTCTCTGCTGCCTTTGATTATTGCCTCCTGCCCAGTCAAAATGGAAATTAGTCTTTACCAGAGCAGGTGGAGCTCATTTCCCACCCACTCCCGCATGCAGAACGGTGCAATTTGTCACCACGTCGTATCATCCCATCGCCCATCGCCTGGAACAGCATTTCCAGGATGTGGGCTGGGCTGGGGACTTTTTGCCATTGCTCTCTTACCTGGAGCAGGGGAATCAGCCCAATGCCACAGTTATACCTGGGCAAACTCTAGCAGGGCTGATAGGACTGGAGACGTGGCAGTATAGAGATTCATCAGCTGCTTCCATATGACCTCTCCTAGCCATAGCCACCGTACAGGGCAGGGCTGCTGGCTGTGGGGTAAGGTCTGATAAGGGTTTCCTGTAGTCCCGTGTCCCATGACGTCGGCTAGAAGAGAACAGCCACTATCCATCGTTGTAGATCTCATGCCACGCAGGAGATTGGTCACCCATCTTTGTCACCAGAGACTGTGACTCCAAAACAGGAATCGGCATCTCCTTCAACCTTGCCAAAGGTCTTTCCTCTCCTATTCAAGCCGCTGACCTGGCCTGGTGAAAGGGCAAGGGAATTTCTCTGGGTTTTTATGCACTTGCAGGAGAAATGTGTAGCCATGTGATGGCACCCAGGTGCCACCCCAAAGCCCTGCTTTGGTTAAACCGTGTCTCTAGGCTGTGTCCAGGGCCCTTGGGGCATCCACCACTGAGCTGGAGTCTGGCTGGCAGCCTAACGCCGTGGACGGAGGTCAGCCTGGCTCCCCACAGCCGTGCTGCCTGCGCGGCCGGTGGCACGGAGCAGGGTGGTGCAGGAGGAGGAGGGAGAGCATTTAGAAAAGCACACCTGGACCAGCTGTGGGGTGCCAAGCACGTGGACATGTCGGCCACCATATGCTGAGGCCGTTGCGGGGAACCAGACCCCTTGGCTTTGCTTCTCCACAGCAGTTTCTTACTGGTGCCTCAGGGCTGATTCTGCTGGGAGCTGAGCTCCAGCTGGATGAGCAGGAGGTGCAGGAACTGCTCCGGTCCCCAAGGGCTCCTCTGCACCCTGTTGGCTTCACCTGTCCGTGCAACGCTATTGCTGCCAGCATGCCAGCTTGGCTATGGGGCTGTGTGTGCCCAGATCAGCAGGAGCTTTCTGCACTGCCCTTCTGCCTGCCCTTGGGGCTGCAGGAGAGATTTGGGGGTCACCTGCAGGCAAGGACACTGTCCCTGCGTGTCCACTTCCCTGCTGTGGCATCACCAAGAGCTGAGGAGAGCTGGACCAGGCAGGAGACATGTGGCTGGAGATGCTGTTCCCTGCCTGGAGCAGCGAGGACCCTCTCAGGAACAGCCTGGGCCTGTTGGGCAACAGATGTGACCTGATGGTCCCAAGTCTTGTGGGATGAGTTTTGCGAGGGCGAAGGGTATGATGGCAGCGTGTGGGTGCCAGAGAGATGTGGCTCTGCACCCCGGAGGGGATGGCCACACTGGGAACCTGCCAGGGCGTGGTCCTGCTCGCTGCTGCCCTGCTTCTCCCAGGGATGCTGCTGGGAGGGGAGACGCTGACCTGCCACCCAGCCGCTAGTTTGAGCAGGGCAGAGGGATGGGGTCCAGGCTGTGTGCAGAGAGGGGCCTGAGGGGCTGCAGTTGAGAAGGCAGGGCTGAAAAAGCCATGCTGAAAATCCCCCAGGGAGGAAGTGCTCAGAAGGAGAGGTGTCGCAGCCCTGAGACTGCCCAGAGCCTCCCATAAGAGCAGCCATGCACCGGAGAATGGCTTCAAGCCCTTGTTAGGGATGGGGAAAGTCCCATCGTGACAGGTCCCACATCCATCCATGAGACCTGGCTATCAAAACAGTCCTTGCAAAGGCAGAGGTGTGAGCTGGGGCTCTTCTTGCAGGTTGGAGGAGGAATGGGCTACAAAGCCAAGGCCGTTGCAGGTCTCCTGGCAGCCACCTGTGTCCTCAGCATCATTGCCCTCATTCTGAGCATCGTGAACGTGAAGGACGTGTTTCTGTCTCCCAGCACCAAGGTAGGGTCCTTGGGAGGGGCGCGGCTGCCCCTTGGTGTAGCATTTTCCCCAGGTTTCAGGCTGTTTGTCACTGAGATGGGGACAAACTCCCGCACAGGCTGGCGTGCCAGATGGGGCTGGCAGAGTTCGACCGCGGCCCTACAGCACACACAGCCTTTTCATCGCAGAGCGCTGCCAGCCCGAAGACAGATGGAGCCTTGTCCCCGACACGGCTGGTGGCTGCAATGCCACAGAGCTTTCCCGGCTCTGGTGACGCTCTTTGTTTGGCTGCTGGAGGGTCCCCAGCCCACCCGAGCTCTGCTGGCTCTCC